GTCTCGAACTCCCGACCTCAGGTGATCCACCTGCCTCAGCCTCCCAAAGTGCTGGGATTACAGGCGTGAGCCACTGTACCTAGCTGGTGTTGTCATTTTTTTTTATTCCAGACTTTCTGATATGTGTGTGGTGATATCCCATTGTGGTTTTTAATTCACATTTCCCTAATAGTTACTAATTTTGAACATTTTAAAATGTGTTTATTTGCCAATTGTATATTTTCTTTGGTGAAATGTCTGTTAAATCCATTTCCTAACTGGATTGTTATTTTATGGTTGAATTTTGAGACTTCTATATACATTCTAGAGAGTAGTCCTTTGTTGGTTTATAGATATTTTCTCCTTGTCTGTAGTATGTCTTTTTATCTTCTTTACATGGCCTCTCGTAAAGCAAAAACTTTTCATTCTAATGAAATGATGAGGTCTAATGATCAGTTTTTCTTTTTAAGGATTTTACTTTTGGCGTCAAGTCTAAAACCTCTTTGCCTTTTCCTACATCCTGAAGATTTTCTTTCTGCTGTGGTCTTTATCTAGGTTTTATTGTTTTATGCTTTAGGTTTGAAGCCTATGATCCATTTTAAGTTGATTTTTGTAGAACGTATGAGGTTTAGGTTAAGGTTCTTTTTTTTTTCCTGTGGATGTTCAATTTTTCTAGCATCATTTATTGACAAGGCTTTGTACCTATGTTTAAAAAGAGAACTTAGCATAGTGCCAGGCACCCAGTAAGTTCTCAAGGAAGATGTAAGTGTTTTCCAAGTGCAGTGGCTCATGCCTGTAATCCTAACACTTTGGGAAGCTGAGGTGGGTGAATCACTTAAGCCGGGAGTTCAAGACCATCCTGGCTAACATGGTGAAACCCTATCCCTACTAAAAATACAAAAATTAGCCGGGCATGGCAGTACTTGCCTGTAATCCCAGCTATTCAGGAGGTAGGAGAATCATGTGAACTGAGGAGGTGGAGGTTGCAGTGAGCTGAGATCATACCACTGTACTCTAGCCTAAAGAGAGAGAAAGAAAAGAAAGGAAGGAAGGAAAAGAAGGAAAAGGAAAGGGGGGAAGGAAGGATGGAAAAGAAGGAAAGTCAAGGTCTCATCTCCTCTTTGAGGTCAGGGGAAAGCTTATGGTCACTTCCTCCCAGGGATTTTTCCAGTGGCCAGGAGAACATCAGCCTCACAGCCAGGAGCTGGGAGTATAACCAGGAAAGAGGTGCCCCCATGAACCTGTGGGACTGAACAGATGATCAGACCCAGTTGAACTAAAGGTTGAAGAAACCAATGGTGTTTTGGCTTCTGAGAGGCATTTAGTTAATCAATAGGACTATTATGTGCTATTTGGAAAGAACGAGCAAGTCTAGATGTATCATCTTTCCTGGATTTGCCCACAATCTGAGGATTGACTGATTTAAACAGAAAGCGGGGGGTGATAGAGACCTAGAGAAAGAGACCTTGATGTTCAAGTCCAACAGTTCCTAATAGATGATCTATGTATTCACGCCTTGAGAGTTCATGCCTTCGAAGGTGGCAAACTGCCGCCATAGCCCACTAATTCCCAGTTGTGTTTTAAGTAACAGCAGAACATTGACTTCTTCTATGCCAAGCAGATTTGAGCTGATGTGGTGTGAAACTTCATGTTAATCTAAGTTCAGGCTAGTTGGTAGGCAGGCGGTGCAGGCAGAGAGTCTGCGGCAGCCTGAAAATCTGCATGGCCACCCAGGAACAGGTAGACACATCACAGGGCTCTGGTAAATGGTTTTAGGGCATAGAAAAATATAAGCAGTGGATCTAAACCATCTTGTAATACAGTGCTCCCAGCTAAGAACAACCTGAGATCTTGAGTTCATTTACATACTAAGTTGTATTCTCCCAAAACAACAACTATTAAAACAACGACTCCAGAGGGCTGATAAGCCAGATCTCAGCTGATGATGGGAAGGCTGAAGTTTCTAATCGCTCATCTCTTACAGCGTGTCCAGCATGCCTCTTGTCAGTACCATTCCTTAGCTGACCCAGGGAGGAACACAAACATTTGCTTTCTTTTTAATCACAAAGCCTGCTGTGCCACTTCTGCCAAATACCATTAACTGTCCTGGACCTGCAGTTTAATATCCTGGCTCACTGCAGTTATTATCCTTGGTCAGGGTTAAATAATCAAGAAAGAGTCATTAGTACCTGCAGTTTTGCAATTTGTAGTGTGGTCCCCGGGCCAGCTGGGTAGAAATGCAGGCGCAGAAGCCCTGTTCCAGTCCTAATGAATCAGAATCTGCATTCTCAGCCAGATTCCTGGGAGATTCACACTTACATGGAAGTTCCAATAGTCCTGGTCTACAGAGCATAGGATCCTTCTCAGATTAGAAAATACCCCAAAGCCATGCCCTCAACCCTAGCTCTGCGTGGAATCACCTGGGAGCTTTAGAACAGTCAGCTGCCTGGGTTCTGCCCTTAGAGATTCTGATGTGATTTGGTCTGCAGTGTGGGCATCGGAAGCGCTAAAAGCTGCCAAGTGATAATCTATACTTCCAAGGTTGGGAACCTTAGCTGAGCTGCAGAACCATGTGGAAACTTTCTTTTCCCCTAAGACAGGGTCTCTGTCACCCAGGCTGAAGTGCAGTGGTCCAATTATTGCTTACTGTAGCTTGGACCTCAGGTGATCCTCCCATCTCAGGCTCACGAGTAGCTGAGACTACAGGCACGCACCACAACACCTGGCTTATTTTTCTATTTTTAATAGAGATGGGGTTTTGTCATATTGGCCAGGTTGGTCTCAAACTCCTGGGCCCAAGCTATATTCTTGCCTTGGCCTCCCAAAGTGCTGGGATTATAGGCGTGAGCCACTGTGCCTGGCTTGTTACTTCTAAATAGAGCTGTCCCTTGGTATCTGTAGGGGATTGGTTCCAGGATTCCCCTCAGATACCAAAATCTGAGGATGCTCAAGTCCCTGATATAAAATGGCATAGTATTTGCAAATAACTTGTACACATCCTCCTGTACACTTATACACA